ATAGACAAGGATAGAAAGACAGACAGGCAGAGAGAGAGAGGGAGAGAAGGAAAAGAATTAACTTTCGAGTTAATTCTTGGTTTGGGCTGCTGGCACAGCTGGCAGAATCAACTCCCAAGTTGATCCTTTGAGGCTGGCGCATTGAATGGGGGCTGTTGCTGAAGAATTAACTTTCGAGTTAATCTTATTCAACTCTTGTATTCAGTCTCTTCCAAGATAAACGCTGTCGACGTTCGCCAACCGGCCAATTGTTGACTGCACTGGAATTCCAGGAGGGCCAACAAAAAGCTGCTAACAGTTAACAGTTGCTTCCGAATGCCTGGCTTTCAAACCATGGCGTTGTGAGTCATGCCGCTGTTGTGTATGTGTCTAATTCGCCCCGTTGAATGAGCGACCTGGCCCCCCCGGTATCGACCGCGTGGACTCCCACTTCGGCCCCATGAATTCGGCCGATGGACAGCGGCACCAAAAGGACCTACCGGAAACCAACTCTGGAACATATAGAGATCATCGATAGATGGATAGAGAGATAAATATCCCCACATGGTAAAGGCTTGCTTTTTTTCAGGGCACTATAAAGTTGTGTGAGTCTGCTGGTTTGTGATGTTTGTGGAGAACATGTAGACAATCACCGAAAAACATGTTATATAAAATTCAGTGATGCCTCCTCAAACCCTCTGGCACTCAACATCGCAGCTGGTCGGCGGAGGCACGGAGGTCCGGCACTTCGGCACAGACCACGCGGCCAAGCGATGGCGGACTTTCGCCGCCGATCATCCTTTTGTTTTTTTGAGGTTTACTTTCAGTGATAGGTGGAGAAAGTGAGGGCTCAAACAGTTCTGGATGTTTCCGGTCATATCTCCAGCTATGTGGAAGTTTCCTCGGTATAGAGGGCTCACTGAAAAATCAGCCCTCCAAATCCTTTGGGCATCAAAAAAGGACATGCCCATAACGAGGTCAGCCATACGGTCATGTGGGATACATTTTGAATGCAGGTGTCTTGAAGAAACTGTTGGGACCTAAACTGCCAGTGATCTTGAACTTAGTCCGTGGCTTCAGAATTCACATCTGTCAGTATTACAGTGTTGCAAAGGAGCTGAGTTCTTCCAAGTAAGTTCAATGTACACTCCCAGATGAACCGTCTGGGGCACATCATGCTGTGCTCAGAATGTTGGGAATCGGGTTCCCAGAAACACCACGGATGAACAGGGCCTCCACAACTCTTCCACAGAAGGAAGGAGGTTCCAGAAAAAATTATTGGGCCAAGCTTGGATCCTCAGTGCCCGGATCCTTGAAGTCAATTCTGCACAAGATTTAGACAAGTCATTGTGTCACTGGTGCTTTCTTCCAGGTTCATTCTTTTGGCAACTGGCTGCTACAGCATCCTTGTTCAGGGTTCCTTCGCGGCTTCGACGCATTGTTGAAATGCCTGAATCTACAGTCGTTGGAGGGACCTGAGCCCTACGTCTTCACCAAGAGCCGACTCGAACTACCTGACACAGAAAGGTTTTGGAAGGCGCTGTTCCACATGGTGGCGCAGCCATGCTTCCACGAGGATGCTTGAATTGTGGCAATCTCACACAACTCAGAGCCCAGGCCAAAGTTTGCCAACTCGACTCCCCATCCTATCTCAGCCCGGAATAAAAAAGAAAAGACATCCTGATAAATCCCAGCACCAAAGTGTTGACCATATCAAGACGAACTTCCAAGGTCCTGGATCCACCGGGAAGCCTCCTCGGTCCGCCGGTCGCTCGGTCTCGGTCGTCAGGGGTCGGCGATCACGGTGAAGCCATGGTCAAAGTGGTCAAAGAAATCGTTGACCGCCTCCCGTTGGCGCTTCTTGGGCGCCTGGCACCGGTGGCTGTCGGTTGAACCGGTGGTGATCTGGGTCCGGCACTGGAAGGAGAGATCCAACTACTAGGAGGAATGTAGAAAAAGACATGCAGAAGGTCCCAAGTCATGCAAAAAGTAGAACAGAAACACCACGGGAAACAGAAAATAGAAAAACTCTCGTCCGGATGTGTCCTCTCGTGTCTTTTCATCGCTTGCTAACTGGCACCTGGATGGACACTTAATGGACTCGGAGAATTAAATCAATGATTGGTGAAAGGGAAAACCTACCCAAAGACCATGGCCTCGAACCTAATAGCCATGGCCTCCAACCTACTAGCGATGGCCTCCAACCTAAAGGCGATGGCCTCCAACCTACTAGCGATGGCCTCTAACCTACTAGCAATGGCAAAGGGAAATAACACCTACAGGAAACCATGGTGTTCACCGCAAAACCTATGGTGTTCCTGTAGATTTTCCCGCCGTAAACCAGTTCCGGGATTCTAACCTTGGAGTCACTCACGGTCTCCAATCTTCACCGGCATCCCGACCACCCCGTTTGTCTGCTGCAAGAGTGATAGACTTCCAGATGGAAGTCTATCACTCAGACTTTTGGGGTTGGTGACGGGGTGTGTGACGGGTTGAAGGAAGCACAAGGTGTGAAGGAAGCATATTGGCTCCCCCAAAAGAATCCATCTATCGAAGGTCTCCGAAACGTTCGGCGATGTTTTGTCTGTTTCACTCCCAAACAGTGATGTAACGGGTGTAACGGGGGTCACTTCGAAAGGTGTTTCGGCCTGTTATGCAGTCCCGGCAAAGCAAGCTGTTGGCCCTATACCAGGGGTACTAGTACACACCTGAAGGCCTGAAGGGTGTGGCTGCCAACAATGTGGAGACTTCCACAGAATCACACAAACTCTCAGAAACTGGGCAAAATGTTGTTGAGTCTCATCTGCTTCCGCTTCTGCCCATCTTGTAAAGTTTCATCGTATTTGACACTAGCACACCCCTCATCTGATGCTGGAATTATCGATGGTTGGATGCACGTTGTTTTTTGAGTAGTTTTTTGAGTAGGACATGTATTGTGTGTTGAACCATGTTTCTGCATGGTTCCTCGGCCAGTTTTGGATTCTTGACCCCCTAAATGACGTCTTTTTCCGTTTGCTCCGGCTCTGCGTGCCCCGAGCA